GTAGAGACGTGTTTTGGAAAAAACAAAAAAAGAACAAAACCCAAAAAACCTGGTCTCCAACTCCTGGCCTTAAGTTATCCTCCCGCCTCCCGAACCTGGCCTTCTCTTTTTTTTCTGACTCTCTCTTGAATCTAGTCCATGTGGCCTGTTCTTGATAATGAAGCATAGACATAAGTATTGCCCACAAGCAACGCTTACACATACCTCTGAACAGTCAGCATTCAAAGATATCTAACAGAATAGCTGGGCAATTGGCTTAAGAGCTTAAGTACTGCGCATGAGAATGCCTTTTAATATCGGGTCCTTGCTAACAGGTCTCTCTGTTCACTTAACACGGGCACTCCAAGCGAGATCCTCATCAGAGGAGCCGGTCGCCCATTCAATTACGCTAACAGCCCGCGTTCAGGCACAGTCCTAGCTAACACGCAGGGAGGGGCGATGCTCCATGCTGCGCACTCATTGGCTACTGCGTTACCCCGGTAACCGCGAAGGGCCTGGGGCAAGAAGGATCTGCCAGGGTAGGAACTGGATTCCCCAGAAGCGCTGGCGTACCGCGACGCCCAGAGCAGAGCTCGCTCACCGATGGAAATTCCTGCCGTCCAGCCGCACTACCACCCAGCAGTGGGCCAAGCAGGTGTCATCAGCCTCGAAGTCCCTCACGTACTCGAACTTGCTTTTTGCCATGGTTGCCCCCAATCTCAGGCACCGTCTTAGAGTGATGGAAGTGGTGGCCAAGAAATCGTGAACCTTAACTTTACAGGCGGCCCACATTCCCCACGCGGAAGAGAAAGAGCCAGATAGCCCCACCCCGGAAGTGTTTTCTTCGTGGCCGCTCTAGCCGTAGGGCGGTCGTAGTCTCTCTCGCCTCTCCCTGTAGTTCTTAACCTCCGGTGGAAGAGGATGGAGGTTTAGGTTCCTCCTTTAGCACCGCCCACGCTTGCTTCTTCCTCCTCCCGTCCTGCCACACATCACTCTCACAAGGTTTTTAAAAATTCTTTTTTATCTGCTGGTCTTGACTCACTGTAGGGAGCAATCAGTGTCCCTGTTAGTGCCCAGATCAAAAACATACCCCACCTAAAAAAAAAAATATTATTTATTTATTTTTTTTTTTTTGTGAAACCCCGTCTCTACTAAAACTACAAAAAATTACCTGGGCATGATGGCGCGTGCCTGTAATCCCAGCTACTCAGGAGGCTGAGGCAGGAGAATTGCCTGAATCCAGGAAGCGGAGGTTGCGGTGAGCCGAGGTCGCGCCATTGCACTCCAGCCTGGGTAACAAGAGCGAAACTCTGTCTCAAAAAAAAAAAAAAAATTATTTTTCTGACCGTGTTTGAAGGTGTAGCTGTGATGTTCTTTGGCTCTTTTTTGGTGGCATTTACTAACTCGTAGAAAATCTGGAATATACCGAAAATATAGTCAATAAAATTAATACTTTATGTCTCCATCTTCCCCCTCAAACCATTGTGGATGGTTCCTAACAGTCTTTTTCCTTTTTGTGTATGTAGGTTGACCCAGGGAATGCACAAGAGTGGAATTATTCACCTATATATATTTTTCTACTCATCTTGAGCATTTGCCAGTATCATCAATTATTCCAAAGTGTTATTTGTAAAAGAAAATGAATTCAGTATTCCAACATATGGGTATAATACATTGATTTATTCAACTTTTTCACCAATAAATAATCACAGAACCACTGTTTGATATATTGTTGCTGGTGGATAATAGTAAGAATAAAATCCTAATATTTGTGTCATACTTGATGATTTACAAAGCTCTTTCAAATTCATTACATTTTTTTTTTTTTTCCATTCTCAAGAAAGGTGACTCATGCCTGTAATCCCCAGCACTTTGGGAGGCTGAGGCGGGTGGATCACCTGAGGTCGGGAGTTCAAGACCAGCCTGACCAACATTGAGAAACCCCGTCTCTACTAAAAAAATACAAAATTAGCTGAGCATGGTGGCGCATGCCTATAATTCCAGCTACTCAAGAAGGCTGAGGCAGGAGAATCGCTTGAATGGGGAGGTGGAGGTTGCGGTGAGCCGAGATGGCACCATTGCACTCCAGCCTGGGCAATAAGAGTGAACTCCATCTCAAAAAAAAAAAAAAAAAAAAAGAGAGAGACTCAGGCTGAGCATGGTGGCTCACGCCTGTAATCCCAGCACTTTGGGAGGCAGAGGCAGGAGGGTTGTTTGAGCTCAGGAGATTGATGCCAGTCTTGACAATGTAGCAAGACCTCTCTTCCTACAAAAAAGAAAAAAATTATCCAGGAGTGGTAGCCAGCCCATGCCTGTAGTCCTAGCTAGGGGAGGATGAGATGGGAAGATTGCTTGAGGCCAGGAGTTTGAGACTGCAGTGGCCCAGGATTAAGCCACTCTACTCCAGCCCGGGCAACAGAGCAAGAATCTGTGTCTAAAGAAAAAGAAAAGTATTCAAATATAAATACTTCTATATGTAGTGAAAAGTCGCTCACTGACTCCTAACTTCACATACTCTAGGCAGTTACTGTTACCAATTTTTTTGTGTATCTATGCAGGGATCTATATATCAGTATGTGTGTATATCCTCATAATAGTACCACAATTGGTAATCATCATTTCCTTTGATGCCTACAGTAACGTCAGAGGGTCTAAGAAGAGGAACTGGGATTTCACCTTTACAAAGGGGAAATCTGAGACTCAAAGAGAAAAAAGTAATTTACATAAGGTCACATATGTGGCAGGGCCAAGAGATAAATCATGACATCCTCTATCTTTTGTTTGTTGCTGTGAAGTGAGTTTTCTGTAGGTTATCATTCCTCACCTTCTACTTCTGCAAACTCCTCTTTCCAAGCTGACCAAGAGATAACCAATCTCACCTCCTCTAGGAGCCTTACTTTCATTAGGTGAATTTTTCAAAATTATGTATCAATATTAATTCATAATTTTTAATTTTTTTTGTTTATTTGTATGTTTTTGAGACAGAGTCTAGCTCTGTCACCCAGGCTGGAGTGCAATGGAATGATCTCAGCTCACTGTAGCCTAGACCTCATAGGTTCAGGCAAACCTCTGATCTCAGCCTTCCTCGTAGCTGAGGAAGTACAGTTGCATGCCACCACGCCCGGCTAATTTTTGTATTTTTTTCTAGAAACAGGGCTTCCCCATTCCTATCCCCCATGGAGATGAGACTCCTATCAGAGATGGGCTGATTACAAAATAAGCCAGTTCCCCTTGGGTTGCCTTGCAATGAAATGCATGGTAGAAGCACTGTACCATCTTCTCCACAGCATCTCTATGGTCTTTTCATAAATTAAGCATTAAAATAAAAGCATAGGAAGGATGTCTTAAGACACCAATCTGCCCTTTAGTAAAAGCATTATAAAAGCTTTGTTAAGATTTGACCTCATGGTCAAATTGCTTAGGATTAGATGGAATAATCTATAAGGTTTCATGTAAACAAACTGGAGTTAACATTAATAAACTAAAGCAAGGGTAAAATTTTTCTTTGGATAAAATGTTCATGTTGTAGTAAAGGCTAATGAAAGGTTTTTGCCTTTTGAGTCATTATTTTGGCAAAATAATTTATGGCAGCCTGGAAATTGTCCTTCTGGATGCCTGACTTTTAGGATGGCTCACAGGGTCCCTGAAATGCTTAGAGGAAAATGGGATCGTTTGACATGTTTAGTCACATGAGATTGCAAAATGATGTCCAATCTTCTTTAAGTTATATTTTAGTGAATAATACTAATATATGTTCTAAAATTGTATGGGATTTCTAATGTCTAAGTATATGCTATCAATCATAAGTAAGGGTAAAGTTATTGTAAACCACAAAGATAAATAAACTTCTTTGTCAGTCATATTTTTAACCATAGCCATCCCGGAAATTTGTCATTCGCAGACAATTGTTGTCCTGCTTTGTTCCTTCTCAAAAGATGGTTTATAATCAAGCTATATTAAGGATTTTAACAGGTGTTCTCAAGGGCAGGTTTTTTTTTGTTTTGTTTTGTTTTTTGAGATGGAGTCCCTCTTTGTCACCCAGGCCACAGTATAGTGGCGTGATTTTGGCTCACTGCAACCTCTGCCTCCAGGTTCAAGTGATTCTCCTGCCTCAGCCTTACGAATAACTGGGATGACAGGTGGATGCCACCATGTCTGGCTAATTTTTTGTATTTTTAGTAGAGATGGGGTTTCACAGTGTTAGCTAGGATGGTCTCAATCTCCTGACCTCGTGATCCACCCACCTCGGCCTCCCAAAGTGCTGGGATTACAGGCATGAGCCACCAAGCCCCACACCAAATGCAGGTTTTTAATAGACTTAAAGATTATAACATTGAAATAAAGAACATACAGGACTCATATGGAACTGACATGTTGACAAATATCAAGCAAAATAAAAGGTAACTAAGTGGACTACACTCAGAAAGTTAAAGCAACCTTTTTAACTTTTGCTTGGAATATTGCTGATCCCTGTTTTGATTTTCAGAGTCAAGGAAAGTTATTTCAAACTATTTTTGGCCTTTAATATAATTAAGTCATATTCCTGTGAACAAAATTTAGAACATGTTTATTTTTCTCTGCCTTGTTCCTCTAGAATTTGGAAACTGTGAATACTCTTAACTTATGACAATATAGTTGTTTGCATCAGTGCCGTAAGCATCCATTTTTCTTTGTCAACAGGACACAATTGGAAAAACTGGTTATTTTACCAAGGCTTTGACTGAAAGGGTGTGTTTCCCTTTAAGGAATCAAGCTCGACATGCAGAGCCAATAAAAACCCCTTGGGGAGAACTGGCCTCATACCTTGTCTGCACAGTCCCCGCACAGGGTTCCTAATCTGTGATCAGTAAAGAATGTTGCTTTTAGGCTGGGCGCGGTGGCTCAAGCCTGTAATCCCAGCACTGTGGGAGGCCGAGGCGGGTGGATCACAAGG